GGAAAACCCAACTCTAACAAATAAAAATAAATTCTAACCACAGCTGATTTAAAGGCCCAGAAAAAAAGTACAGTAAATCCTTTTGACTCTGCAGTTTGAATACAAATTACAATTAATTTAATACTCTTGCCAAAGAAATGTAATTGAACCTTTGAAGTTAACATTTATTTTCGTCTTTGACTGGCCCCGTAAACAGCGCTAGTAACTGACACAGCTGGATTTCCTCCCTGCCAGGTTCATGGTGTGTGAGAAGTCGACATGACTCTGTCCTGTGACTCCGCGAAGCCGTAATGGCAAAATGAGCTAATTAACAGCAGACATTTCAAAAATAGGTTTATTCCTAGTGGGTCACAGTGGACGGGAGCCTATCCCAGCAGGTAGAGGGCTGACAGCAGGCCTGCACCCTGGAAGGCACACGAGTCCATCACAGGACCCATACTCACACCAGGCACTCCAGAGAGGAGACGCCCAAACTCCAATCTTGGACCCAAGAGGCGTGAGGCAGCAGGGCTAACAGGGTCACCATGCCACCCACTGGCAGTACTGAATTAAAGGAAAGAAAAAATAAAACAGAAAGTGTGGGCGTTTTCTCCATGGCTAACGCACACGAACTCCTCTCAAGTCAAAAGCAATAACAATCAAGCTGGAAAGAGGACGAAAGTGATGGCAGCAGAGGGGTTCGTTTTAATGCAGCTTCAGAGCCATTGTAACGAGATTCGATGCCAATTAAAGCATCGCCTGCAATGAATTATCTGTGCCACTCAGAGTGAATGGGACCCAGCTAATGCATCTAGAGCACATTTACAAACAGATGTTAATATGCAATGAGCAGGAACAGCCAAGCAAATGAAAAGCAGGAACAGCCTCAGCTGCCACACTGAAGAGCTCATGCAGAAGCAATTGACCATTATTAACCAGAGTTTCACAGACAAGTGAGTATCCTTTTCTCTTGTACTGAGAACTGCAAATACGTAACATTTTTTAAATTGTTGTTACAATTGGATGGATTCCCCCCCGTTACAACAAATGTAAAAAATAATCAAATGTTTTAGAAAATAAAAGAATGCAGGAAAGAAAATGTCGAAGTGCAATGATTTTGCAAGCGTAACAACAAGTGTTCAGAGACAAACCCGCAGCCCAGTGGCAGAGGGATGATTAATGATCATAGGGTCTCCAAGAGTGAACCCCTGCTGGTTAGCATACAGCACTCCTCCGTGTGCACCAGGCTGTACAAAACTTCCTGGACTGTGCACACGAACACACGGCAGAAGCCATGGGGCTCCATCTGGGACGACAGGTTTCCAAGAAATACAGTAAATGTTTAACGAAAGCTGTCCTTAGGAGAACTCGTGACAGCAGAGGGGAGATGGGGCTCCTTAACAAGCAAAACTGGAAAAGCTCATACGTGTTCATTTGTAGACACTGTACTTAAACACCTGCTCACATCAGTCCAACTACAGAATGCATTTTGAACACAGTGCATGTAAAACCCCGAATCTGTTATAACTACACATCCAAAGCAAAGCCATGTACTGTACTTCTGTATTAAAGGCTGAATTCTGTAATTGGTTTCAAGGCACCCTGTAGATTATGGTCATTATTTCCCTTAAAACATGTACATACATCTTTAACAGGTTGTTTTCTGTGTGACTGCTCTCTGTATTAAAACATGGCTTCACCCAGTGAAATCGAGGGGTGGAACAGATGTAAAGGCCTAGTCACAGTGAGCACACCTGCCTTCTACAGGCTGTAACAGAACAAGAATAGAACTAAGCAAGTCACAGGATTGCTGTTGAAATATCAATTATTACCAAGGAATCAGGAGGAGACTGTTTTAGTCAATATATTTTCTTCCTACAGACATTCATTTCAGACTCCCAACAGGTCTCCTGCTGTCACGACAATGATGTTTTTTTTTCTCTTTCAGCTCCTTGCAGCTGTTTAAAACCATTCCCATCAGGCTGAATACAGTAGCTCACCAGGCATCTTTCCAGATGTTTCACATAAATAGGGGGCACCACGCTGTAGGCCAACACTGTTTCTCAACAGGCCTGGGCTCGAGACTGGTAAAGCTCGATGTGCTGCAGCTTTTGCAGTTGCATTCATTTAAAAGCAGCCCTCAAAAATAAAACACTTGTATCCATTCGATGCAAAACCTCAGCATCCAGAAATACTGTCAGTCCTTTAGCATTTGATGGTAAGTTTCCAAATACTAATTCTCAGCACCCGGCTCACTTCCACACCTGCCTGGACAACTGGGTCCCTAGACAATCCAAAACCAATCACATTTCAAACTGTTGACAAACTGCACTCTCTTTAATGAGCAGTTTGCCATTTCATGGCCACACTCCCAGACGGAGAGAGAAAATTTGAAATGCAAACAGGGCAACAGATGTTGCTTTTGAGAAGGTTAGAGGACTTGAGCAACGTTAAACGGCGGGAATACATTTTAAAATCCAGGAGGTCACTGAAAACAACTCCAACTGGCTCTGCTAATTGCGAGGTATTAACAGCGCCTTTCAGCTTTCGCTGCAAGTACTGAAGTCTGTACACACCGCAGCAAGCCCCGGTAGAGACAGAACGTCATCATGTCAAGGAAAAAACAAAGGAGTCCTGATTGGTCAAGCAGCTCGGGCATGACCCCGAAATCATGCAACTGCTTTCCATAGCAAGGATAACATTTTGACATACAGTAAGTGTTGTATTTTCCCCAATATTCCTTTGTAACAGACGTTCAAGTCACATGGCATGTCATTTATTTATTTTTTTATAAAATCAATATACGAGTATCAAAAGTTTAGAACATGGACAAAAACTACAAAACAATTAACCTCATGTCAATATATGGAAATGCATACATTATACTTCATTTATTCACAGATTAATACACTGTAGTTTTTTGTGCTTACAGTGCTAGCGGAGGCATCCGTGAACCAGAAACCACGACCCGGTAACTGTCTGCCATCACGTTGTCTAATTGCACAGCTGGTGACAATTATTATACATATAAGGCGACTAATTACGTTCCTCGTGGAACATGCAAACAGTCCAACACGCTTCCAGCGAGAGGCAGGCAAAGACTGCGCCGGCTTTTCTCTCTCTCAATGCCCGCTGATGCAGCGTACAAAATGAGCGAAAATAAAAAAAATCCTACATCTCGGAGTCGGCAAGGTACTGTCCTCGAGTACACAGGCCACAGTCGTCCGCTCCATAGTGGGATGCTCATCGGCAGAAATAGATATTTCTCTATTATATACATCATAAACATCAAGTTAAAGCAGTTTGAAAATACAGTTTCTATTCATGTTTTGTATGGGAATTCTACACTGCAGGCCGCTCCAGAAACCGGCTGGAAGAAATCCCTTTCTCCCAGCCGCTGATTTTATTCATGAAGCGTTTTCTGCGAATCGTGTCACCATCATTTCGTTAGAAGGCAATAAACGTCCCTATAAACCATGAAATTTGCTCAGGAATGGCAAATACGAGCACAGCAGCTATAAATCGAGCCGTATGCACTGTGGTATAATGCATTATAACCTTTATTTATGTTATTCTGTAAAAAAAAAGTGTCGGGAATTTACTGCACGTTAACCTCTTCGAGAAGTTGGCTCGATGCTCATCTTTCGCGTCTCCCGGCTCCGGACACAGACCCCGACAGATTCTCTCTGCAGCACATACTGCTTCCAAACCAACTGTAGCGCACCGGGGTAAACTGGGAATTTGCTTTGACGTAACCGTGAATCAGACGAATATTTTGTATAAACTGATGTACTGTGCTTCCTGGTTTTTACATATATTGAACACATGCAGCATGATTATTCTCCAAACAGATGCCTTAAAGTACGAAGATGACACCAATGCTGTACTTTTGTTGTACCTTTGCCCGAAATATATATATTTGTAACGGAACTTCAATTAGAATTAGCGCTGTCAGTTGTGTAACACGTTGAACAAGCTGGCCAAGAGAAATTTGAGCTCTTCTGCCACCTGCAGGTTATTCCTACAGGTCGATTATTTAAGGTGAGATTTACAGTGAGTTTACAATGAGCTACACTACTTAACCTCTGATAATACACAATGATTTGTTTCAAATTCCTGTTCAGTCTGTTAATATAATCTGACAAAGCTTTAAGAATCGGCATATTTTCCAGAGCCAAACGTGAGTCAAAATAACTTAGGGTTTATACTTAGAACACGTACTTCACAAAACGCTCATGATTGTAATTCCTGTCGTATAAATTATGCTTTTTTTTTTCGTTTGCCGTCTCAAATTTATACTTCATTTTACTCCTCAAATTTAACCTCGTGAAAGCAGCCACTACCGGAAAGGGGCTGTATATAGGAAGATTACAGACAAGACTATATCACTTGCACCCGGAGATCGCGCGGTGTGAGTGAGCCCTGAAGGAATCACCGCTTTCCAAAGGGGAAACCGGGAGAGAGAATTTGCGCGGAGCAGCTTTCCGTCACCTGGAGAGGAACGCAAGAGACCGCGAGTTTGTCAGACTGGCGGCTGTGAACAATGTCGGCTGTTGCTGCCGCAAACATGGTCTAAAAAGGGGTTCTCAGGGTGTAAACCGGGGCTCAGGGCTCTTCTCAAAGTGCTCACTACACGCCTTGTCAATTTCTTTTAAAGTTCACGGAGCTACTAGCTGGATCGGCACTCTGGGCTGGAGCGCTCCTTCTCCTGGTAATGCACTGAATATAAAATCACAAATGCGTGCCAAGCCTTCGGGAGAGCGATACACTATGCATCCTTTGTGCCTAGTGTCAGGAAACGCAAAAGGCATTCACAGATTTGCACACATTAAAAAAGAACTGAGCCCAGCACTTTATTAAACCCTTTTCATTCATTTTTTTACGCATTTGTGCTATGGTATCTTCTCGGTGAAAAGGAGCTTTGTATGACACCCACGCGTTAGAAATCAGCCACAGTACCCTCACGTAGTCCTCCTTCAACGCAACGGCATTAGATTAGGAAATAAAGGATCAGATCTTACCTCTTCAAAAACTTTAAAGAAGTGTTCAGCTCTGGGGCATATAGGAATGCAATGATTTACAATGTTGGTTCAATCCAAATACACAGCCGTAATCTCAGGGAAAGAGAAATAAAATCACGGATAAGGTCACTGGAGAGGTGTATTCCAGCCTCTTCAACGCGCCGTGGAGGCGAAGACTTGTACCTGCGTTTAAATTTCATTTATTCTCTCGCGGTGCGCCAGCACGCCTGGACAGGTCGACAGGAAATCCACGATGTCGTTTTAATTGCCAGACATCCCGCGCAGCCGCGTGAAATACTGAATTAGCCACGCATACGCCTTGAAACGCTATTAACACTGCGCGGGTTACTGGTGAAGAGGGGGCGGGTGTGGGTGTCAAGTGGCAAAGGATGAGATTTCTTTTCCTTGTCTCTTACGACGCCGTCAAGATTTCCCGATACCGTTAAGGGTGGAGAGTTCGTGTTTCTTTAGCTAAATAGGTAGCAAGAGGACGCACAGTGGAGGCATACAGCATCTCTCCTTCCTTCTTGTAGACGCCAGCAACACGCCAAATGTTAGACCTCCGGATCCCAAGTTGAATAAAAACCTTTCCTCAGCTCTCGCAGGCACGATCAGCGGCTCTGCGCCGGCCGGCGGTGAAAAGCTGGGACTCTGAGCAGAGACAGTGATGGGGTCCGAGCTGGGCGCGCGTCAGACATGACGTTTAAAAGGGGGAAGAGATCTCACATGAAGCTTGTTGAAATGATGCAGCGACGGGCGGTTGGGGTTCAGAGAAAGCGTATCTTACCAAGTCACTTGTACAACCGACGGTGCCAATTGCGCATCTCCGTCCTGACGGAGGTAATTCCTCTCCTCCACTGGGTTGAGCTGGACTGCAGAGCGTTGCGTGCCGCAGGAAAGATTTAAGTTTTGGGGATGATAAAAGGGGAAAAGCATCGTCGGTATAAATCGAAAACTTGAAAGAAAGCCGCATCTCTCAGCTTCACGAGTACTAGTAACTGAGAGCAAGGCGCTGTCTTCTTCCGTGTGCATCCGTCTGCTTTATTAAAATAAGGACTTTATGACTCACTTCACCCCCTTTAATATAACACGGTGGAAGAAATGCATGCACTTGATTTAGTTTCTTCTAACGTGGCTTTGGGTACCACACACTACATTAAGCAGCGAGGTGCGCGCAATAGGTAATTAATTGGTTTGGAGCCATTAACTGTGGTGTAGTTTAACAAGTTGCTGTACAATCCCAATAAAAATATGAAATAATTATACCAGCAACAGCTCTGCGGTTAGCTCGGCTCACACGTCCGCTGTGTTAAGATCAATCAGGTTTCTAAACTTTAATTGGTTAATTGTATCTTAAATTCCGGTAAATTGCCACCTTCTTTTTCATATCCACTTGTAAAAAGACCGGGCTAAAATCGCTAGGTTATTACTCAGTTTTTCTTAGCTTTTCAGGGTAATTATATTTGACATGATGAAAAGAACCTAAATATACTAAACGTTTTTTAACAATCACTTTTTTTTTCAGTTGTGGGTTTACCATAAATATTTAACGTAAGAGGATATTTTGAAAAGGAGAAACTTCAGTTTCTGAAAGACTCGGCAGCATCGCGATTATACACTTAATCCCGATAGTCCGTTATCATCCAATTAGCAAGTGTTAGACACCGCAGCGAATACACCAGCGTTACACAGACCTTCAGAGGCGCTGTTGGAGAGGGACTGAAGAATAAACTAATCTATTAAAGAAACCCCTTCGGTTTAAAGACACTTCGGGTGCATGAGGCGATAAAAGACCCTTCTTGCTGGATTGGTAACACTCGGTGTAATTACGAAAATATAGTTTAATGACATTTAAGCCTGTGAAGGTTTGTTGAAGATATTATGATTTTGGTTCTCTCGTTGAATAATGTAGTTCAAGGAAAAACAGGTCACTGTTGTTAAGCTTTCAAACCGTAACATCGATGATAGAATAATTTTCTCTCTTTTTTTCAATTAAGTACCTGCCTTGCAGATCTGCAGCATTAAACACAAGATCATTTATCGTTGAGAACTGTGGCAGGTCTTCTCACCATGCGTCCTAACGTGTGGAATCTGGTCCCAGTCAGCAGTGCTGCAGGTACTAGACGTATGTAATTTAAACACATCTTGAGGTCCTGATGGTATTCTATTGCACTTAAAGAATGAAGGAAAGTTATTCATAGACCATTAACAAAATTCCTCCAGCATTCTTCAAGAACTGGCCAGTGAGATTCTCAGAACAAGAAACTACCAGCAACCAGACAAGCTAGATGAGCCACGTGGCCACTTCTCATTTTCAAGCTTCTTTAAGTTCTTCAGGAATCATCTGAAAGAGATTCTGACATCAGTCGAGTGCAGTGTGACCAAAGGAAAAAGACTGATCCAATGGCCTCCTCATTTTTATAACTGTTCTTATTTATCATCGAGGCAACGTGCGATCCCAGCAGAGCATGCTGTACAAACTTCCTGTTTGCGAGAGACCCGGGGGACAATAAAATTAATTAATAAGAGGAACTGAGAACTCAGCTGGAATTAAAAATCAGAACAACTGATCATTCATAAAAAATGAGGTTGTGCTGGAGAGTTCATTCTCCTGTCATCAGTAGCACAGCAAACACCCAGCGTGGCCGAAACTAATTGTGTTAGGAAACCAACCTTTGTCTTTGTACTTGATCTCGGATTTGATTTTGCAGCTGGGCAGTCAAGAGAAAACAGAAACGTGTCTAGCTCTCATGCACATGATAAATGGGTGTCATTTTTATCAAGACCAGGGGAGTGGAACAGATCAACAAGCAGCAGGAAAGCAGTAAGAAAATTACTGTGAAGCAATTATATCTTAGTCATTTCACCAAAGTTTGATTTGTAACTACATTTGATTCTTTTATTGTCGTGCAACGGATATTTGTTGTGTTTTTGTATTTTATTGCCAGATATATTTATAACTGTAGCTGTACATGCTGAACTGTATCATCATTCATTCATCCATTTTCATTTTGCAAGTCAGCCAAAGGACAACAATTGGAATGACTTGTGGGAGAGTCCTGTATTGTGTTATAATAAAATACAGAAGATGTTTCTTTATGGCTGTAAAATAGGAAGAGTGTATTTTTCTTCACTTTATTTTAAAATTAATATATAAAATATTAATTTGCTTTTGATTCAGAGCTTCCAAATGGAAGCATATACCTATAATTTGGATTTAAAATATAATATAATTTAGGTCTTGTATTATTTTCTACTCACTAAGTATTGTTTTAGCAGAGAAACTTGTCTTGAACTCATGAAAGGGAAAGCTAGATTAATAATGGGAGGATATGAGGTTTTAAACCAAACCTTTAAAAATTCAGGAAATCAAGCACTTACAAGTCAGAATGTCCTGTGGTACATTTAAAGATCTCTGATGTCTGTTGTGCTGAAATCGACCAAGTCATGCAACGCACATTATAATTTAAGACGGACATTATTCATCTGTCAGTACATTGAAGGCTTTCGGTAAAGAACAAACAAGTTCATACATGACTATCTTATTAGTTCCTGACATGTGCTTTGTGCGAAACACCTCTGCACCTTCAGAAAAAACAAAGCAAAACACAGCTGTTTTGGGACTTTATACACTTGAAGAATCAGTTATATTTTTTTTGGTGTTGTGAGGTCAGACTGTGGAAACATGAGACAGAAATTCTCATTCTGAATCACTGTTTGCTGAGAGTGACCTCTCTCTCTATATTGACTATACGCAGTATATATAATGTATATAGAGAAAGACAGACCTAATCCTCAAATGGAGAACTTCTCCTTTAGCCAAAACATGGTGTCTACATTGTAAGCAGGAAGTCATGAAGCAGAATCCCAGCAATGAAAAGCACACATTCGGGAATTGAACATGGAATTGAGTGGAATTGAACATTCCAAGCACAGCACAGTCTAGGCCTGTCAATCATTCATGCCATACTGTAGTTTAAACAATGCATTTATTTATTGCTCCTAATGATTATCGTGGTTACAAGACTTGTTTTGCTAATAACACCATGTTTCTGGGGGAACAGAAGTTCATTAGGCTTCATTGAGACGGATTGGTATTTCACAAATGGACGGGCAGCACTGGTACTGACAAACAAACGGGCGGATGAAAGGGGCCTCGTTTTAACGCCAACAACAAGAGTTGAAGGTCATAGCACAAATGCCACCGATGGGGTTTTTAACAAACGTTAGGTTGTTGGCAACCCAGTTCTCCTTCACCCCTGCTCCTGTGACCTGTACTCCTCTATGATGTCACTTCCTGTGACACTGGGAACCACCGGGAGCCCCTCAGCCTTCCTTGCCGTTGTCTTTCTGCGCCCCTCCTCCAGCCCCCCAGCCCCCCAGCCCCTCTGCCCCTCTGCCCCTGTGCTGCTGCCCCTTGGTTCACTGCTGGCTCTGCAGGGGCTCCTGTCCTCCTCCTGCTGAGACCCTCAGCCACGTGGCTGACCCAAAGCTTCTTATGTCTGACCTGCCAACAGGCACTCCGAAATGCAGTTCCTTATGGGGTATTGTTCCTCATGAATTTAACATGACAGTCACTGTAGTTTTATGGGGTCTCTAATAAAAGCCACAGAGTGCTGGGACTGTGAATACCCATATTTCTCACAGGGGTGCCATCTATTACACTGAGAGATGTTTCCACATTTTCAGACCCTCTAGAGCGCAAATCCACAGAGGTGATGAAAAATGGGTTCCTCTGTCCGACAGAGCTCTTACAATGTAGGAGGGCCATGTTCTGGGTTTTTTATGTTCGTCCCTCATTTTTTATTCCAGATTCTGACACCACCAGTCTACCAGCTTCTCCCCACTTGCAAAACGTGCTTCATTTCAGCATTTCATCCCGTTCAGCGCTCGGCTATAGAAACAGGGATGTGTGGCAAAGAAAGAGAAGGGATCTGCAGATGTCAAGGGGTTTTGAGAAGTTCAAATGTCAGGCAAAAACTTTCAGAATACCAGCATTCGTTCAACAGATAACTATGAATAAAGATGAGCTAAGATGATTTCGGCTTTTAAAAGGTGACATTAAAACAACCATTCACAAGATTTTGCAAACAGGAATCCATTTATGGTCATTTTTGTTTCAGCTCAGGAGAGGACAACAGCAGAAAGCAGAGACCAGGAAGGTAATCAATACATCACCACTCAACGTCTGGGTAGTTAGATGATTTATGAAAAAACATCGATCAGCAACATTTTGTTGTTTAACTAGATAGGTCAATCACAAACTAATCCTCATCTACGATGACAACCTGGAGACTACCCCCTAATACATCAGGACAGGAGCGATCAGCAGCCATCAGAGAATCCCACAGGTCCTAACCAGTACTCCACACAGCTGCCCGAACATTTACAGTGATCGTTTTATTCTCACTCTCACAGATCTCAGCAGAGAAGATGCTGATGTCTGCAGACAGGAGAGCCAGCTGATATTCTGTTGATTTTCAGGTACTTTTGTATCTAGGCTTTTGGATAGATCAGTAGCAATAAAAAGTGGACTACTCAAATGTTTATGCCAAAAGTAAAACTGACTTATTTAGTCTCCCCATCTCATGCAAACACAATTAGAAGAAGCCTACTGAAGCTGTGAGACCCTGTGAGTAAAAAACTTTAATTTCTGATGTGGACTAGTTGCCTTCATGTCTTAATAATTACAAAAATACCTGAAATTTGTATATCAAAGGTTATTTATAGCATAATATAGTGAGCACTTACCTGTGCTCAATACATGGACATAAGTTATACTTGACTCTGTTTTAAAGAATAAAGGCAAAAGTTTATGTATTAAAGTTCTTCTATAGGGGCAGTGAACAGTTTATACCCCTGCTTGTTCAGAGGTCATCTGACAATGTGTTTAAGACAGCTAATGAAAAGTGTCACCAGGTACTATAAGCTCAGCATGATAAAGCTTATGCTTTATATTGGTATATTCAGAGCAATAAGAGAACGCACACTACTTGTTGACATAAGTAAAAAAGCAATTAAGAGATTAGTTACAAAAAACACTTTTAACACTAGGTCGTTCTATATCACCAGAGAGATTCCCTAAGGTTTTGCAAATTTAACTTTGTAGAGAAGGCTAAGGCTCCTGCAAATTCTTGCATTTTTTTATTAAAATACACAGTGGAATTCTGTCAAATACAGCTTTAAAGGAGGAGCTTCAAAGGAGCCTTTACAGGAGGATCAATGGCTGAAGCTCCACACTTTCCTCAGAGGCTCCCCGATTGCTCATGCACAGAATGAAGCCCACAAATGTGCTTGAACTTTTTCTGAAAAACTGACAGGATTTTAAAGCACATGCTTTCGATTCAGTGTGCAAATGAAAGCTCTTTAGAGTCAAACAGTTGTTTGGATGTGTTTAATGACTGTTACTTCATATTTATTGCAATTTTAAAAACAAAATACTGCTTTGAGGAACAGAGGTAAGAAAAACATAGCAGTTTATTAACTTCTGTTCACAAGGAGGCCGAGAAATCCCTTAGTTTATTTACTCAGTTATTTTTTGGAATGGGTTTAGAATTGTGATAGATTTAGATTCAGAATTAGGGGTTGTGTAGCTGGTTATACTTTACTAGGGCAAAAAAAAAAATTAGAAATCAGAATTAGAATCCAACCATGATTATGTTTATTTTAAGGATCTAGGTCAGGAAAGGGATCATTCTGTTTGACAGTGTTAAATGAGTTGCTTGTGATTCCATATTTATGCAAACACAGCCTGTTAGCTTCAGGGTGAAAATTTCAGTCTATGTTCTGCTAAAATCTGCAAAACTATTGCACCAACGTGGATGACACATTTCAGAAGCAAGGTACACATGCATAAGTAAATTGAACTTCAAAGATAACATTGGTGTCACGTATAATGTTTATGAATATGCATGTTTTTCCAAACACTTATATCGTCGTGATCATGATCTTTAAAGTTATGTTCTTGGGGTAATGTTAAATGTAGGTCTATAGTTGCTCAAGCAATACCCCAGACAACAAGGGTAACGCGAGCCCTGGGCATCAGACACTCTAGGCTTATAGATCAACACTGATCCTTAACACCTGGAAATAATACAGCAATAAAACCAGGACTTGGGAATGTGGAGCGCCCCCTAGGGGAGAGGATGCTCAACCCTAACACCCTTCTGCTTTGACTGTTAAGGTGGCAGCTCTCTTCAGCCAACAGTCAGCTGTGTAGCTGTAGATGTACAGTAGAAGGTGGTGCAGCATGGGCAGCTCTGCATTCGCAGAAGAAGCTGCATTTCAGCTTCAGGGATGAAGCACACCTCCTTTTAGCTGCAAAGGATTTGGGGATCCTTTGTGATAGAAAGTGCTCTATAAATAGCACGTGTTCTTTTAATTAGTACTATCAGTGTGCTGTACAAGACTTTACAGTTTTGTAGCCAGTATCTACACTTGCACACACAGCTCTCCTCAGCCTCTCGTTACCTCATGTCTCACTGATCTCTGTGATTCATTTCTCCCAACTTCACCGACAGTGCTTCAGCTCTTGTGATCTACCAGCTATGAGCATGTATTTAAGATGTTTCCATTTTTCCTACAGTGGACATGAGCAATAGACATGCTCTTTTAAAATGGTTGGAATTATTCCTCTTCTTTATGTTTGTTCATGGTTTTTGGTCATGATGTCATCATGCTCAAGGTCTTGATGAGGAAGAATGTGTAAATGTGTCTGTTTAAGCTTGACTGTAGCAAACAGGTGATGAAATCTGTTTCTGTTCAGGAATTATTTTTAAATTTGTAGCAATTTCTGCAAACTCTCACTGCAGGGTGAACTAAATGTATTTACACGATCCAGTGATTTGGTCCTTTTATGACTAAACCTGAAAGGTGACATTGAAAAACTGACTCAACCCAAATGGGCTTCTGACATTGTTAAAGGTCACTCATAGAATGGATAGATTTCTTTTTTATGCTTTTGTCTTGAACATAATAATGACACATAGCTCTGAGAACAACTGCTTCTAAAAATGTCAAAATACATATCCACTCAAAGAGCTAAAATCAAGACACTGATCTATAATATTCAAGCTGTTTTATGTTTTTCTTGCATTTATTATAAAGAAATGAATAAAACAAATGTATAATTTCAGAAACAATGGTAACTGTTAATTGCCAGCTGCTGAAGTTCTCTCTTATCTCACACTTTCTTCCCCTAGCCTCTCTGTTAAATCAGTCTCAAGGCTCGCAGTTACCTGAATGAATATGGATGAGGTATCCCGTGCATTTTATTAGCAAAAACAGTAAAAATGTATAATGTAGGCCACGTAAAACTGCATAAATCAGCACTCCTAATCTCACACAGCAATGTTTTGACGAGATCATGGGGAATACAGTATGTGTTTTTAAATGTGTGCAGTGTTTAGAATTTTTCAAATTGACAAAAGGGTGCCATATTTACAACATACAGAACAGACTTGATTAGATGTTTCATGCCTAGGCACTGTGGTCCTTGCAATTTCATTTTAGTGTGAGCAGAGTGTTGTGTGGAAGGCTCAAAATGGAAATGAGTGACAGACCAAAGGTAAAGGAGACATTTCTATGCATCACACAGAAACAGAATCCTACACTGCAGTTCCCCAGTCACCTGCTGTAGCGACGCTGAGATCAGTCTTGAGCTCTCACGGTTAGTTCAACACTTCTTCAGGCAGCTACACAGACTCAGCCTGAGAGTGAGCAGAGATATCAGCCGTTTAAAAAATCCTTGACCAGATATGGAGAGTTACAAATTCATTAAATTCCACCTGTTTAGCTGATTACCTTTCAAAGTCCCTTTAACTCAGGTAAATGTTTCAAACAAGCAAAGTATCAGCACTGCTACACTGTGACTTAATGAGCGCAGGGCTATAATGATGATTTATACTGTATATAATATTATCATGATAGGAGACAGAAAATTATCCATAATGTAATGTGTAGTTTAATCAGTGATCAATAGATCTCACTAATCGGTATCTGTAATCATTCCTTCCGAACCAGGAGGAATCGTACCCAATCCGTTTAGCACCCTGAGGAATTATATCTACATTTATTGGTCAGGTAATATAAGCGGCTGTGACAAAACCAGACGGAACAGAGGGATAGTCGAATTTATTTTATTTATTTATTTTGTTTCATAGCGGTGACAAAATGCATTCTTTCCTCACGCGCCTTGCAAAACTGGAATTGCTGACATTTTAGCCCTCAAGAGACGCGGAATTCTAGAAGACAATGTTAGCCGCAACTGGAGAAAAACAAAAAAGCACAGCCCTCATACTGGGCATATGATTATGTATGCCCGCGTTAGGGAGCACTCCTTCATCGGTGCTCTGACATGATGAACGAAAACAACAGCGGCGACAGATACTGTCAGAGGAGGGTATGAGTGTCACGCAGCGATTCATTAATCTGAAGGGAGCTGGTGAGACTCGCCAAAATTCGCGCAGTGTGCTTTGAGGCAGACTGAAGAAGTGTGGATCCGACCCGTAGCAGGCTATACAGTAAATTCATTTATCTTGAGCGGTTAGAATGTTAAATACCTGAGCTGGAGACAAACGGTACTTCATCTTTCCTCAGAGAGAGTATTTTACATCTGCTGTCAAGCTGTTGCAGAGTTACGGTGTCAGAGAACATTCTGTGATTTAATAGAAATAGCAAACGGCTGTCCGCACAGCGGAATATTCGCTGCAATATGTAACAATATATCCCCTGGCGCGCCTAATTTACTTAGATTGTTTGTGCTATTTATTTGATAAGGACTAGCGCATTTCTTCAGCACGCATTAGCGCTAGGGGAAACTGCTTTATCAAGGGGTGTGCGGTGAGCGCCTCTGCACATGAGGGTCATTGTCTCTCAGACGCTACCGTGTGGGACTGCTACACAACTTATTACGCAAACGCAAGCGCCCAAGTGCAAGACTATAGGAAACATCGCTGCGCCCCTCGGCGTTACTCTCGCTGAGAATGGTGGAGCAATGAAGCCGACAGAAGACCTGGAATCCGGAGCCCTGGGGATTTCTGTCCACAAGCACTGGGGTCGTGGTTAAACACTGGAGCGGTTTCCATGTTTCCTGAAATTCTGCCTCAGCACAGACGTATTTAATTTGCACTGGGACACTACTGCTTATCACGCTGACAATGGAGAGGTTTTTGTGATTTAGTTGCGCGCCATTGGGCCAGGTTTCTTATTTTTCATTACTCGAATACGGTTTTACAGTACGTCACTGCGGTCTGTTCTCACCGACAGGTGATTGTTTGTAGGTATACAACAATACGAGAAAAAGCAACATGTCAGGAAATGTAAAATTTATGAAAGTAAACGATGATGAAGTTTAGGGCCTGCCCCGATGCTCGTTCTTCCTAGCGCCATGGTTTCACAACAGTGCTTCCACCGCACAGTCCTCTGTTGTACCGCAGTATTTCACAGTAAACTTCCGCGAGAACCGGGGCGTACTCCACAGCACACTGTGCTGGGACCGAGGCGACCCAGCACACAGGTCACACCTGGTGCTCTTATCCAAATCATACCCCCTGGAAATCTGTATTCCCCTTCCTGCACAAAACTATCCGGGATAACTAAGGATATACAGTAGACAGCTCCTGCGTGCATGTTTGTACCTTTGCTTATTACGACACGGGTTAAAAAGGAGCCGTCGTTTGTTGTTTATATGGAGATGACAAACATTCGGGAGGGATGACAACAACCAAGTTCAATCAGACTCAGCTGTCAGTAATTAGCAATCGCTCCTGACAATCCATTCCTCTCCCAAATGTTATAAATACCTACGAGATCCCTATATCTCTCTCTTGCATCTCATCTCCACCTCTGTAGCTGCCCCTTGGTCACCCTGTATGGGGGGGCTGGTCTCCTTGTCCTCTGGCCGGGAGGTCAGTCCTCAGCCAAGCGGGTTAAGCCACAATTTCGCTCCATGACGCTTTCATTTTGGGTATCGTCATTCCTAGTGAAATCGGTCGGTTTCTGGGTTTATTTGCTTTGTTTGCTAGGGATGGGATTAGAGTCATCTAAAACATTCTACCGCCATTGCATGATTGAAAGCTCGAGTTATATTTATTACACCTGACGGAGTCAAGGGGTATCTACAGACGATTTCTAAATGTAAGAACACGTAAAGCGCGGTATTTAACGCCTGACGATGTTATCGATACGTTATATGTACTCTTGTTTGTATTGTATGTAAAGCACCTGACAGGGGAACCCGAAAGAAAGCACATGATGGCTCTGTGCATCTCTTGTCCTTATGTGTTACCTGTACTGTACATCAGGTGACTTGTGGACGATAGGAAAAAATCATGCGTCCCTGAGATAAATGGGCGAGCGCCTTTCGGAGGGGGATACGGACTTCCAGGGGATTCTGAACTGGACACGACCGGGACAGTCTCCGGGACAAGCGCCCTGGGGATAAGCCGATGGGTGAATGTGCAGTAAATCTTCACTGTGTCCGTCACACCAGTCACCCTGGGAGTGACAGGCCAGCGTGTTTCTCGGTTTATTTTTAAAGCACTCTTACTGTTACTGGGGCGGCTGGTGGAATGTTAGTTTTCGAATTGAGGCTCAGAAACTACGGAAAAAATACATAGTATTTCGGGGAGGTAGAGCATAGTTGTTGCATCCTCGACGACATGATTACATCCGTCAGGTATGCGCTATTAAGTGATGTTTTCGAGCCCTCCCTTTTAACAGACCCGTGAATTTATCGCTTTAGAAAAACTCTGAAGGGGATACACCAGCGTTAAGTGACGTCTTCGGGGCTGTGCCGTAGTTGTGACTTATTAGTTGAAGTATTAATTGTTTGTGTACGTTAGTGTTACTGTTAAACGTATTTAAATATTAAGAAAAGGCATAGCAGTGATCACTTTTAGCTGTGTTCATGTGTTCATCTTCTCTGTGACGTTTTTGTCATTTGAATACATGCTATCGTGGGAATGGTGCAGGTTGTGGTCTTTTAATATTACATTTCTGACACACAATATATTGGATACTTCTGCTAGACCAGGACGTGATCGGAGTCCAGTGCTGGGAGCCCAGTCGGGAGAGAGACCAGGGTCCAGAGATCCTTCAGCCCATTGGGCTGCAGCTGCAAAACGGATGAAACGATTTGACAGCTGCAGGAGGAGGAGGCGATCCGGAGAGGTGAGGGTCACGGGCAGGAGGAAGAGCCCGGAGATGCCGCCAAGGGGCAGCAAGGCCAGCAGGAGGCTGGGACATGATCCCGCCCCTCCTTCTCTTCCTCGGATCCCTCTGAAAATCCTGGTGGAGGTGGAGACGAGGCTCGTCTACTGCGAAGGGCCGGCCATCGCCGCGAAGTCCCGGAGGCCCCCAGCCTCCCCGGGCTGGCAGGGGGTCTGTCAGGCCCCTGCGCTCGGACACGGCCCGGGCGCCCTGCCTCCCCTGGACAGGTGGCTGGTCGTGGCCCTGAGCGACGCCGAGGCGCACTACCGCCAGAGGCAGTACAGCGCCGCGGCTCGCCGCCTCACGGCCGCGCTGGAGGTAGGCGTTTGCATCGCAATATTCTGTCGTGCTGTTATTTGCTTTCCGGTCGTGGAACACTTTAAGTCATTCACAGTTGGGCTTAGAGCTACGGTAGAGCGTGCCTTTTCCTTAGCAACTTAAACCCCCTAGCAACCTCCAAAAGAAGCGCAATGTTACATTTACTTTTATGATCCCTGTGCATTCACCCATTTCTCCCACAGTCCGAAGACATACTGTACCTGTAGTGCTAGTTCAATTGGATTCTGGGAAACCCGGCCCTGGTGCGAGTGTGTGCATCTGCCCTGCGATGGACTGGCGTCCCAGCCAGGCTGTGTCCTGCCTTCTCCGCTTGCTTGCTGGGACAGGATCCGGCTCACCCGTGGCCCTGTATCGGATACAGTGGTTCGACAACAGATGGATGTGTTGCAGTATATACTGCATTACTTCTCCCTCTTGGAGAGCCTTGTTTTGAGTGAGATACCTGCTCCCTGGTTATCAAGTCTCTCCTAGGCATTACCTTGCAATGCAGTACGTTATATTATATTGGTAATCGGCACATTGATGTATAATACATATTCCTTCGTACTCGAGATGTGGAATAAAATACATAGCTGGATCCTTCACCACTCAGAAAAACAAACTGTACATATTTTATAAAGTGTGGAAGCTCTTTGAAAACCCTGTTCCCACTGAACTATGCAAGTGCTGTTGATGTGTTGATGGGTATACAGTAGCTTTCTTGCAAGGGAAAGTTTATAATCCTGTAATTCAATTAATACTGTGTGCTCATGTGGCTGATTCTGACTGTCTGTTGCAGGGTGGTGCCAGAACTCTTGTTCTTGTTCATGTAGATGTACAGGATAATCTGGCGCTGACTTGCGATTTAGGCTGATACAGTACAGGGCTTTGCAAATGTATTTGGATGCTCACACAGTTTTTACCTTTTCTTGCTTTAAAGCATGCTGTTATGGCACTTTTTAAAATAGCAGTTAATTGTTAAACACCAGTCACTCTACGTCACTTGTCACTTCCTACAATAGGTCAGGCACTGAATTTCAAGCAAGAATTCAAGACCAAGGAGCTTTCAAAACTACTGAGACAAATTCTAGAAAATAATAGATCAGAAGGTTTAAAAAAATTCAAGAACACTGAATTTCCCTTTTGAGCACAGTGAAAATGATCATTAAGAAGTGGAGGGTGTGTCTTACCAGCCAGCCGTTTCTGACTGAGAGGGAACTGGTCAGGGACACCGATATGAGGCCAGTAGTTCCTTTGAAAGAGCTAAGGAGCTGAGGAGAGAAGTGCATGAGTCAATAATATCCCAGTCTCTCCCCAAGGCTGGCCTGCGTTTCCATCTCTGTTCTCACTTTCAGTTTGCAACAAAGCATGAAAGTGATGCTGCCAACATTTCCATAAAAGATTGTGGTCAGACAACACAAAACTGGAACATTTTGGCCTAAAGTCAAAGTTTTACATATGACATAAGTCCAACATAGCGCACCAGTCAGTAAGTTATGTTTTAGTTCTTTCATAGTAATTTTACATAACAGGACAACATGGAAATCTAAATAATTTTACAAGGCACTTTGTTTAATTTTTTCACTTTCATGTTAACACTACATATTACTTTTCCCATGTTTTATATTTTGAAGTACATTTTAGACATGCAATATGTCTGGTGGCCTATCTGTGCAGTTAGAGTAGCATCGCCGTTGAGAGACACATGTCTGTCTGTGCTGTGGTTTGCACTGTCCAGGTGTGAGCACCGGAGTAGGAGTGCCGTTCACTGTACACCCACATTATTTCCCATCTAAGAGTAAGGATGTTTCTGAGGAAGCAGGTAAATGCAGATTTAGAAAAGGTTCAAAATTCACTCCAGGCAGTAAAACTCCATCGATGTGACGGGTATTTCATACTTTTGTAGATTGGAATAAGACCTTTTTAGAGAGCTAAGAGAAATACATGATCCGGATTACTTTTATTCGGTGGCTGAATGGAACAGAAGCTGTCTCATGCGTTGGAAATCTGAGAGCAAGCCAGCAGGCGCGTGCTCATCTCTTCAGCCTGGTATTGAACACGCTGGTGCTGGCCAGACAGCACTCCATTCATCGCTGTCTAGTTAGGGGAGTTTGTGTGGTAATAATGGGATAACACTGCAAGGATCAATAGAGATGGCTACATAATTAGTCCAAATGAGAATGAATATTAGTGCTAAACTTATGGATATTATTTAATGTTGCATTTCATAGTCGGCACTTCCTAATAGATCATCAGTTAGAAAAATGATAATCCAGAATTCAATTATATACATTTTAATTAATGTTACTTACAAACACCAGCCTTCTACTGAGCTTTCTTTCAAGCTAAGCTCAACAGAAAGATGCATCGTAGAAATAGAATTTACAACTCCTTCTTATTTTTGAGTACTTCAAACTGCTAGATTTGTTTTTTTTCTCAGAAATGTACACCAGGTGAGTTGGAAAGTAAATGTTGCGATGGGTCTGACAAAGGCGCTATTGTGTTGCTGCCCTCTATAGCTGTGCACGAGAGGAGCTGCGCTGGGAAGCCCCTTTGATGCTGGTTATGAAGACATTTGCAAGGTTGTCAGCTTCATTGAATCCAAGCTAGTTGCCTGTTACCTCAGAATGAAAAGACCTGACTTAGCACTTAATCACTCCCACAGGTAAGGACAGCAAGTCTCTGAATTATTTTTAGAGCAGGAGAGCTTTGCTTAAGCAATGATATCTGACACTGGAAGAACAAGTGCTAGATAATTAGGCATAGCTTCTTCCTTTGCCAAGTGAGCCAAAAGCTAAATGAACCATTATTACAGAGTGAATAGCATATTGAGTTGATTTTGTTCTTTCTTTTTTATGTACTTTCTTGGTAGAATTGACTACTTTGTACAATGTTAATTGGCTGAAATGTAAAAGGGTTTTTAGAATAGGAATGGCTTTAGATTGAATTGCAAAATGTGCCTTGTTTGACATTAACTAGCAACTGTTAGTCATTCAGCAGGACCTGTTGACCTGAGGTACAGTGGAAATAATTAACAGGTAGAGGAACTAGCTGAAAGCTATCACATTAATGTATAATACATGTTTAGTGGTTTCACATACACACAACGGAAAAAATAAATGAGTAATTTCCCTGTCACCATGTGAAAGCAATTCTTAGATTTGAGTTTGTTGGTTAAAATTGTATTATGACAATGATGTCAAAGCTGGCTTCAGAAAAACAACTTTTAGTATTTAGCACTTATTTCTAGAAATAAAAGCTGCTTGTGGGAATAGACTCTGGCTCCCCCGTCCATGTTTTGGATAAAGCAGTTGGGGGGGGAATGGAAGGCTGGAAATAAAAGCAGAAAGAGCAAATTTGCATATATCAAGTAATTACCAATATTACCTTTTTAAACAAGATCTTTGTAATCAAAGTCGAGCATCTTGCACTACGGATCTGAAAGAATTTCACATACAATGGGAAAGACAATCGGCCATCAAGCCGAGAAGACTGGGACTCCTGCTGGTCTCGGAGGCCGTCGGGATGAAACAGGGCTTTGCAGGAGGGTGCAATATGGCACAGAGCCTCAGGGCTCGACGTGCTCTCCCCCTGCCCATCCCCAGAAGGGACAGGGCACTGCAGGAGCTTTTCAGAAGATGCTGGTTTACATAAGGATGCTGAGGAAATGAAGCCAGTTTATTCCTTGGGGCTGTTATATTTACTGACTGTCCTTCACAGTCCTTAATTACCGGCGCGCATCAATACTTTAACACTTAATGTCAAAAGAAAATGGCTGTGAGAAGAATTCTTAATTAAAGTGGGAAGAAGAAAGAGCCTCGGAGTGGCAGATGCAGATCCATTACTGCCCCTGTACTATGGGACTGAGTATTTGTGGTATAAGATTATATATTGGGGTTGTAGGAATGCAGAAATTCATGTATTTTCTGAACATTCAGACTTCAGTCCCCTCATGACCTGTTTAAGTCTTTCTTAAACTTGTCTTACTAATGGAATAAAATTTAATGTTTTGTTAACCATATCAATTAATCCCAGGTTTATGAGCATCTCCTTTAAAAACCACTAGAATTAGTGTCCACTGCAGGAGTGCTCATTTCTCACACAGTAACTTGAAGCAGATGAGAAATGGAATGATCAAGATTATTATTACTGCCTTGTCTTTTTAATCACTGTTACCTTAGCAGATGTTTTTCTCCTGAGTATCTTAGTGTTGAGTATACAAAAGAAATATGTTGCAGGGAAGTACAATGGAATAAATTAAGTGCAATTAGAGGTCACAATGCATTGTAAATAAGAAAAGTGTTTCTTAAAGATGTTTCAGGCTCTGAAAGCACCTGTGACATACATTTTAGAGTCTCACTCAAAGGGTTTGTCACTACTGTGGCAGAGCCTGACATACCAGCATGTAGAGGATGACACAAGGCGAAAAAAAGTTAACGCCTGTTCTGGGCTGGGCTGCAGGTAAAGAGATTATTTACTCAGTATTTGCCATTTACCTATACAGTGTATAGTTCCCCACAAAACAGCCTGGATAAAAATACCACACATCCCTGCTCTTTGAACTGTGCATGTTGACAGTGTTTGTTTTGTGTTTTTGCACTGCTTCTGTAGGTTAGAGAATCTAACATTGTTTTCAGACTGTCGCTGTCTTGTCACAAGATAAACCTCTGAAATTCTCATCTGCAAACTAACATTTAAAGACTGTTGTTCTGACTGCCAGGGTTGAAATTCTTTTTTTTTTTCTTTCAACTGTCTGCAATGTTTTAAAAAAATATATCAGGTAAGTGTTGGGGTCGAGTGATTAAAATTCATGTGTATCTGAAACACTTCATTCTGAACCTTCACGTTTGCTGGACATCTCTCTTGCTTGTTTAAATGTGATTGCTGAATGGATGTGTGGAGTGTCTTCATTTAGTCCTGAAGACTTCAGCAGTCCAGTACTGGGCTAATCTACAAGATTGCTAGTAAATCCCCAGACTCTCAGAAATTGGGGAGTGTTGTTTCTCTTTTTAAAATTGTTATTCAGAGCCTTGGGGCTTTTTTAGAGACAATAAAAGCTTTCAAAAGAGATAAATACATTTTTACTTAAAATTACTGTAGTTAGTTTTCTATTTATTTTGAAATGACTGATATAGATTAGTTTTCTTCTCAAAACCTAAGGGAGAAAAGAAAGGAAATAAACACTGCATTCTCTCTAAACTGCACCATCAGACTTTAATAAATATTTATTACCTTGATGGAGAGAAGGAAAAGGAGGGTGATAGTCTTTTGCATGTATTTAAATTTTTAATAACATATAGGAGTGGATTGATTTTGCTCTTAAAACTTAAAAGAGGGCTTTGGTTCTGATAAAACGGAGATCATTATTTATCATGTAGAGGTGCGGACTTTACAATGTACAGAATTAGTTAGAAAACCTTGTTCATGAGATATACTATAAAAATAATTCCTGAAACCCCATCAAGTCCTTGGAAAACCCCAGGAACATTAAAAATAAAAACTGTACTTAAAAGCAGTGTAGTCAACTAAACGGTGGCCATTAAATAAGGCTGGTGGATTAATGGGTGTAATTATTTGTATCACTTAAAGAGTCTACTCCCTTTGTGATAATTGTTTCCATTAGGATGAAATAGGAGGGCCATCAGCCACCACTCTCAAGGATGCTGCTGAGGAAAACATGTTACATAGGCCCATTTTATTTTTCTTAAGATGAAATATTTTCACGTTGATATGCTGACAGTGGAAATGAATTGTGTTCTCCTCCGATGTGGAAGCCAAAGCGTTGTCAGAGCAGATTGGGAGAGTGTCCTTCGCCACACGAACAGGACATCGGCGAGGTCACGGTGCTGCCTGCCTCGTATGACAGCAGCTTGGGGTCATGCTCAGGTCACGCCCAGGCTGCCACTATACTGACAAGTGTGTCAGCTGGTCCTCCTGAGTGGCTCGACCCACAGAGCAGCACGTTGTGGGAGCGAGGCGAGTCCTGCAGCCCAGGCAGCTCCAGTTTTGGTCTGGGACTCCCCGGGCAGCAGGGTACATCTGACCGAGCACCCCAGGAGAGGGAGGGCTCTAGCCAGCTAGGGTCTTTTTGGATTGCCCAGTGCCCGTGACCCTCCAGGCCTTTCTGGACAGGTGTGAGCCCTCAGCTCTGCCAGGGAGTGCTAGGCAGTGGGTGCCAACTCCCCAGTGAGTCCCTAGGCTCTCCCTGTGAGAAGAAGCGCAGGTGGGCAGGACAGGTGCTCACTCTGAGCCCGTGCAGACATGCCTTTTACAAGTGGGGACTCTGAAGATAACGGGTCTGTGCTTTACTGCCCTGGCAGAAGGAGCATGACAGAAAACAGGATGTTTTTGTACATTACAGGGCTCATGTTTACCACTGGTGAAGTCCCACTTGTATAAATGACTTAGAAAACCTGTGCAGGGAAAGACAAAGTGCCTGTAAATAGACCAAAAGCAGGAAAGAGGGAATTAGCTCTTATTACCACATTGCTGAATTTTCCCAACTGTCTGGAATGTATTTGCTGCACCAAACAAATGTTTGAGTCTTTTTAATTAACCATACCAGCATTATAATGAGCATGCTGAAGACATTGTGCACATGCAATTAATTTGCTGGTTGTCTTTTCTTTGAGGGTGGATACAGATTGAAGTGGGTGCAGAAACGCTGCATGTTAATAGAACTCTGGGACAAGGACTAGAGAACACAAATTGATGGTGCTTCAGATTTCAGCACAGTACTTGGCAAGCTGCTGAATAGCATTTTATTCATTTGTACTTGCTGATTAAATCGGCTCTTTTTCACAATAAAATGTTTTCCTGGGTAGAATGTTCCCTGAATTTAAATATCAAAACTCAGAAACACTGAAGAGTTGTTCTACTTACCACAAACTATCAGGCAGTGGTCTAGCTTGATACATCTCCTTGCCAACACATGACTGGACATCCACATGAGACACAGCCATGATATTGCGCCTGGCAGCCACTGCTTGTATACTCCTGAGGCTGTCTGAGCTGTTGCACCAGTGTCACGAGCTCCAGGACATTCTTCTAAACCAGGCTACTTTCTCACATCACAACAGTGAGGGAAAGGCCTTGTCTGCTACTTCTTTACATTCATCAGGACTCATAGGACATTCCATATGCGTACTGGCCATTCCCTCTACCTTGGACAGGAGGGGTGACTCATACCGATCTGACCTGTGTCTAGTATTTTGGCAGGGCATGTTGGTGGAGATGTGAGACAATCAGCCTGCCAGACACTGCTCATATACTCATAAGGCTGCCTGAACTGTTGCCTCACAAATCGCACACTGAGGCTGGCCAGGGCCTCCTTATCTGCTACCTTTACAATCAGGGATAATGTTTATTCTCCATCTTCTTTGTCAAAGGAACATATGGTTAAATCCCACGGATTTCCACAACCATCTTCAGCAGGCAGCGGTGTTTCGATTCCTGGGACGCTTCTCTGAGGCTGGAAGGTAAGAGGGTGTTTTTTCAGTGCAGGGAATGTTCTGTTAAAGATTTATTTTGTTTTTTAGAAATGAAGACAGAGCACCTCATGTGCCTTGCTAATAAATAAAGTTGTTAGTGGTTCATGCCTCAAGCAATTTAGGAAAATGCAGCTCAGTATTGCAAGCTGTCAGAATGACATTGGGAAGTTAACACTTTTCCATATTTAAGGAAAAATATGCTCACAGAAACACAGTACAAATGTTGAAGGGCACATACAAGAGGGGAATAGAGCAATCAAGTTCATAATTAGATTGGAATTTAATGTTGCTGTTATGTGATACTATAAGCAATCATTTCCTACAGATAAACTCCAGGCTTTAGCGTTGTTAATGTCCCATTTGTATTCTAATGATATGATTATATATTGTATGTATGCTAACCAGGAGTACTTTTAATGTGACACCTTCATTTATTATTGAATTTTAATTTAAATATTCAAGAGTCATTCAGCACCACTGTTTTCCTTATAGGCAGCTTCTTTTGCATTCAAAAAATCAATCCGACTACACGAAGATATTTAAGCACTAAACTGAGTAATCTGGCTGGGAGAAAAAGAGATTTAAAATGAATAAGATTTGAAAGGGCAAAACTGGTAAATGGATGCTGAAACCTGGGTCTCAGCTAGAAAATCCTTTGAGATATACTAATCTCAGGCAGAGGCTACAAAGGCAAACATCTGCCTGTGTTCTTAAGGGCAGAGGGAGATGACACAGCATTGCCATGATCACACCGATACTAAGAATATCATTTTTTGATGTTTCACACACATTTAAATAGGCTACCAGAATAGTCCATTTTTATGGTAACATTGTTTTCCCACATTCTTAGTATGTATTAAGGTGGATCTTTGAAAAAGAAAAGCCGAACGCAAGCAGCAATCACACGTAGCATTATTTTTAGTACATGACTAAGAAGAAGTCATTTTTTATTAATAGTTGTCCTGTGGGTGTTTTAATTATGTGTAAACATGACTACAAAGGTGTTGTCATCATCTTACTGGACATAACAAATTGTGTAGACACTTTCAACCAACTTAAAAGAAAAATGCTGTTAACATGACAACATTTGTGTCTAAGCAATTAGAATAACTTAAAAGAATGTGTTTTGAGGCTGTGAATTCTTTATGATGAAACAAAATGATTTATTCTGCACAAAATCCTGGTATAATAGTTTTTAAGAGCAAATTCACTGACAGGTCTACCTTAATCTTTTATATTCACAACCACACAAATAGGCTGTCTGCTTCACTATGTACAAGTTCTGTCTGTTCACTCCTGGCTGGGGACATCAGGCTGATCACAGGAGTGGTGCAGTACTGATGTGTGGTGCGCATTCTCCTAAACTTAATAATATTATCAATAACCTAAAATAATTTTGACTTCATTTTGACTCTGATACTAGTAAGTGGTTTTACAACTACAAGTTGCGGACGTTAAAAAACCTTCTGCTGAGTATCAGACCTAGCTGTGGTTCAGAACAAGGTACTGGTCTGAGCATCAGACCTGGCTGGGGTTCAGAACAAGGTACTGGTCTGAGCATCAGACCTGGCTGGGGTTCAGAA